TATATATATATATATGTATGTATGTATATTTTAGCTTACTATATAATTCTTGAACACAGACTGGAAGCAGTGCCCATCCAAGAATGTGACCCACTATGTCCACACATATAAAGTGCAAAAGTAAACACACACATTCCAATAACAAAAACTGTTAAGAGGAAATTTAAGTTGTTAAAGTGTGAAACCTTCCAGACGCTGAAGTCAAGCGACATAGTGAGAGACACCAGAGAGAATGAAACGCAGTTATGTAAAATGAACATGTTATGACAGCCAGTTCTCCACAGTTGTAGACGAGAGGACGGGAACAGGTGCTGGTGAGCAAACATAAGAGTCACATGTAATTTTAGGAGGACTCAGCTGATTATTATCCTAATCAGTCAGCACTGACGCACGTTTGAAGTAGGGCAAAGGTCTAAACACTGAGGAGTATCTGCATAAAGAGCCTTTCCAGTTATCATGCCAGATATCTTTTAAATACTAAGTTGAATTTGTGATATTGGTAAAAAAAAAAAAAAGCTCTCTGGAATACAATATTAGGCAATTTTCCAGACTATTCAAGCACTTTTCATCATGTGCTTTACATGAACTCTTCCTTCTGTATCTTCTCAACAGTGCTTATATTACATTATAATCCCTGTGTTTGCTTTCTAACCCATCAACTCCTTAACAACATGTGTGATCTGATCTTTGCTCACTGATCGAACCTAATATTAGAAAATATCATCTAGCCAGTGAGAGCCAGAATAAGCACTAAGTTTTAAGAAAAATGCAAGCCAAAGCTAAATCCGAACAGTCTGCAAACCCCTGAGTCATCTCTGCTATGCGGGGCCTTTTGCTGTCTTAGTGGAATATCTGTTTTGTGTACGGTGAAAAACTGTAAGTCAGCATAAATGATAAAAGCTGTTGATGAAGTTGGAAAAACATTATAAACTTGAGGTAACTACAGATATTAAAAATAAGCAGTTTTAGTGTCCCTTTATTCTTTTCCTATTTAATCATCCAGTGAAGCAGAACCAGGACAATCCAAGTCTGAGTTGATTTTGTGAATGAAGCAAAGATGCTGAGCCATAAACCTGTGCCCTAGTAACCTTTAAGTGATGACCTTATTTATAGAGTACTGATTTAAAGTTCACAGTATTCAGAGCACAGGGGTGATCAGGTCTGGGGGCTCAGTGTCTTTTTAAGGGGAGGTCACTGCAGACTGGTTGAAGCCAGCCCACTGACTTGTTTACTGGCCCGAGCGTGTGCTTAAATGTTTCTCACAGAGTGTTCCCAGGAAACTGTTTTTAGAGAGCAGGTGGTGAAACCACCTCCACCATCTCCTTAACCTTTTCATGGAATACAGTATAAATGGATTATTACCTCTCAAATGTCCTGTAATGTCGTTTGACATCACAGGACCCAGTCTGAATATGTTTGCTAAACGTAAATATGTTCTCACTTTACTAATCTCCTACGAATGCCTTGTTTAATATAGAACCTTTATAGCTGTAAATATGAGGAGTGGAAAATATGCAGGTGTATGGCTTTACTTTGACCCTGTTTACCAAAACTGCTTCAGAGTTTCTGAGTAAGTCGTCACACTGAAGATGAATTATGACACTGTTTTATGTGTACAGGGCAATATTGCTATAAAGCAGCAGTTTATGGGAAAGAAAGATGTTTACAATAATGTGCAAAAGTCTTGAGCTATGGAAATATAGTGTATAAATATAAGAAATACAAGGCAAAGACTGAATTTATACAATTCTAATGAGGTTGAAAGTCAATATCTGGTATGACTACTTTTATTTTTCAACACAGCCGGGCTTTTCTGCATTTATAATTTCAGCAATTTTGATAGGATTTCCAACACCACTGCCTGAAATGAACCCCCAAACCATGAAAGAGCATCCACCGAGTTTTACAAGTGACTGTAGATACTCACTGTTGTACGTCCTTCTTGATCTCCTCCCTACACATACTGACAATGATGTGAACCAAACAATTCCAAATTCAGATTCAGATTTTCAGTCCAGTTCTTGTGTAATTTGGATTACCTCAGCCTACCTGTTTTCCTTCCTTGAGAATGATTTCTTGTCAGCCATCCTCTCACTGAGACCATTTCTGATGAGGTTTTAGTGAAGAACAGGTGGATGATGAAGGGTCAAGTCCCCTGTTTTTTCATTTAAAAAAAAATCATACAGTTCTTATCTGGTTTCTGTATTTAAGGACAACCTTCACACCGTGGGACAAGTTATTTTTGAATAGCTCTTTGAAAATCACCTTGTAGGTGCAAAAACACAGTTTTCTGTCTGTCAAACTGTGTTATCTTTGGCATATTTTGTGGATTCAACAAAATAAATGAGAAGAAATTTTTTTGTGACAGGCTTAGCAAAGATCCTAATGATGCAATTCAAAACTGGCTCTTGGCTAAGTTGTCTTAGGTGTTAATTGCTTTAGCTGGGTGTGTTTTCTAATTCATTAACAGGTCAGTGTTAAGTGGCTTAACAAATAAAAAACATTCTTCTAAAAATGGTTAAAAGACTTGAATGAATATAAGCAAAAAAAGCAGCCTGGAGAACTATGGCTCAGTAGCACCAGGTCTTATCTTAAAGAGTTATCTTATCTTATCTGGCTCCTTGGAAGCAAAATATAAAGAAACGAGGGAGGCTCAAGACTTTTGCACATTACTAGTATGGTTACAAAATTTAGTAGTGTCGTCTTGGGAACAGAACAACTTCCTGACACATGTTGCAGCTGGTGAATCCTTTGATATTTGGAATATGAGGCTGTGCTTTCTGACTTGATTAAAACTTGGCGACCTGTGACCCAGAATGCAATGGAAACTCACATGTAAGGAGGCATGCACTCACAGAGAGCCAACACCCACCTACAAAGAGTGCACCTCCTCCCCCTGACACTTTCCATTTGGCAGCTGCTCCTCTTGTTGGAAGCGGCTTGTGTCCCTGTTACAAATCAACCCAAATGATTGCATTCAGATTCTCTCTGCACCCAACCACACTGACCCATGGTATGGATTGGCTACGAAGTATGGCGGTCTCCTTACTTGAATAATTTCATAACTTTTTATCGCTTGCTGGGATGGAGAGGTGGGGGATTCCTAAAGCTTCTAAACTTCTAGAGCTAATTCTGTTCCCTGGGCACAAACAGTAAGCAATAATGCGGTGGAAATATTACCCAGCCAGACAAAAATCCCAGGCAAACATCTCATGAATCCAGACAAGCCTTCCAGTCTGATTGGCTGCATGTAACCAACCAATAGAAAAATACCCTGTGATGTCAGCAGAGTAATGTGAGCTGGTATCTGGGGAAGAAAAGCTGAAATTTCACACAAAAATCAAACTCTGGATTCCAAACATGAAACATTGTTTTTAAAAAAATCCATGAAACTTTCAGCAGTAACTTCTTTACTGTGTAAACGGACTCCAGATAGACCTGAATGTTTACGTGTACTCAGAGATTTCATGCCAGGCTGCCATGATGACGGCATCAGGAAGAGATCAACAAGAGCTCAGATATCTGGCTCAGGCTCACAGACTGATAAACATGATATTCTCATGACAGGTGTACAACGTGTTTGGCTACAGCGCATGTAGTTACGTGGAAAAGCTTCCTATAAATTTGGGGAGGCTTCTTCCATACTGGAACAGTAGGCACACAGGAGACGAGAAAACATATAGGATTAACTATCAAAGAGGACTGTATACATTTTTCCTGTTAATTGGATTATAATTTACTTGGAAAACTATTAAGGTAAAAAAAAAAACCCCAACAACCTTGCATATCAACATAGCTGTGATTTTTTTTAACTCTGTAAATTTTTATTGGCAGTTAATTGAAAATATCAGTTATATTTGCTTCAAGCTGTGGGTCGCTTTCAGCTAAAACTGAGTGAATGATGATTTGCTGAGTTGTGCTATATGGTTGTTTTTGCAGCAAGTGGTGGTATGCTCATTGGCTCATTTCGAGGAGAGTTTATGGCCCGAGGCATTTCCACAACAGAAGCACCTCGAAAGACTAGCTTGTTTCTTGAGAAAACCTGAAACTTGTCATTATCCTTACTCACAGGTTTGTATGACTTTCAGCATGAACAGCATGAAAATATTTCCAGCACATCCAGCACACTAAATACACCCAGGTTTGTCACAGTTAGTCATTTTAAACAGATCAAACAAAAGTCGTGTAATATAAGAAAATATCAGCAGTTATGCATGTAGTCTATTTTTACTTTACACGCTTATATCCCATATTTGGTTGTCCAGGCAGCGATGTTCTTTGGTGCTTTGTGTTACACAACCAAAGGTCTTTGGATCGTAAGAGCATATCTTTCCATTCATGTCCTCAGCTGAGGCGCAGCAATGGTTGGCATGAAACCCAAAGATGTGATGCCCTCTGCGGCAGTTAAGTTCTTCGGAGCAGGCACGGCAGCCTGCATTGCCGACCTTGTCACCTTTCCACTGGATACCGCCAAAGTCAGACTGCAGGTTAGACAAACAGTGTTAACCAGATGCCTTTAACCTAATGATAGATGTCATATTAAATCCTCTTTTATTTGCATCATGTCGTGCAGCTTCAGGGAGAGTCTCAGATAGCCGAAGGGGTTGGTGCACTGAAGTATCGGGGCGTGTTTGGCACCATCACCACCATGGTGCGCACAGAGGGGGCCAGGAGTCTGTACAATGGTCTGGTGGCAGGCCTGCAGAGACAGATGAGCTTCGCTTCTGTCCGTATCGGCCTTTACGACTCCATGAAACAATTCTACACCCGAGGCACCGAGAGTGAGTATCAGTGAGCGAGCAACAAGTCTGCTTCTATTGCACTGTTTCTTCGTGACCAACATACGTATGGCACACAGGTGCAGGGATCGTTACTCGGCTCATGGCGGGCTGCACCACCGGGGCAATGGCTGTGGCTTTTGCACAGCCAACAGATGTGGTAAAGGTGCGTTTTCAAGCCCAGGTCCGACTGGCTGACGGCGAGAGGAGATACAACGGCACAATAGATGCCTACAAGACGATTGCCCGAGATGAGGGTGTACGTGGCCTGTGGAGAGGTACCTGCTTTACATTCAAGTCATTCATCTTTATATGAAAATGCCCTCGGCTGTTCTGACAGTTACGATCCTCTTTTGTGTTCCAGGATGCATGCCAAACATCACTCGTAACGCCATCGTAAACTGCGCAGAGCTGGTGACCTACGACATGATCAAAGAACTCATCTTGAAGTACAACCTAATGACAGGTGAGGCCATGAATGAAAGATACAGACAAACATCCCTCAAACGTCTGTCTAATTAACGTGAAAGTTGTGACTAAACTTCTGTCCTCCCACAGACAACCTGCCGTGCCACTTCACGGCCGCCTTCAGCGCAGGCTTCTGCACCACAGTTGTGGCTTCTCCTGTGGATGTAGTTAAAACACGTTTCATGAACTCAGGACACGGCCAGTACAGCAGCGCTCTCAACTGTGCCTTCACAATGCTAAGAAACGAAGGATCCACGGCTTTCTATAAAGGGTAAACACACTCTAACATGACCACGAGGCAAGCAGAGATGCTACAAAAGTCCTTTTGAATAATTCTTCACTTGTCTTTCTTTCCTCTTCTTTAGGTTCATGCCTTCTTTCCTGCGACTCGGCTCCTGGAACATTGTGATGTTTGTCACCTATGAGCAAATTAAAAAAGGCATGAGCAGGGCACAGCAGTACTGGGAGTCTCCGTTCTGACCGCAACTAGTCAGACTTGTTTTTGTTCAACTCAGGACCGCAAAACACAACAGCCGAACGCACACCACAGTGCAGGGGTGACTACTGACGACTCTTGGTTGGAGACCTGAAAATACAGGAGCATGAAAACACAAGAGTTGACATTAGAAAGAGTTTGAGCAGGAAGACTTCAGGGACATTGTTGCAATATTTAAAATAATTTAAAGGTTAGACCTTACAGAGGCTTCATGCATTTTAATGGTCAGAAATTCCATTACAAGAAGCTCCTTCTGGTGTAAACTTCTATGTTTAAATGAAATAATCACGTGAATAATGTTAGGCTGTAAAGTTAGTTTTTAATTCCTTTAGGCTTTCCATGAAAGCAGAAGACAGTTTATGTCCAACATTACATACCTTAAAATGACCACAATATGTCTTTCTGGATTGTTTACACTGTTTACCTTTTGTAGTTGTAGTTTAATGTATTTGCCACTAGATGTGAAAAGTATGTATGATTTGTTGCTGGTCGATGAGTCATGTGTATTTTGTGAAATAAAGTACTTTAATTAGTGAAAAATTTTAATTTCGCCCATCCTTTTGTCTGCTATTTAATGCCAGTGTTGCTTTGTAACTTTATTCTGAATGTCACTTCACATCCCGACTCCCACTCCTAACCTGTTAGATATACAACACTCCTCACAGGGAGAAATTGGGAATGCGGATTTCCTAAAATCTTCTGGAAAAGCCTCAGAATTTTAGGTAAGCAAATGCTGCTGATCTCTTAAAAATATACCTCCTTTTTAAAATCTAGCATTTATTAGTGCTTCCATTTAATAATAATACTCCTGAAATGTGCCTCTGGAGTTCAGCCACATTTACAGAGATGTACCTACACATGGTAATACGGACCATATGCATGTCTTCTTCATCAGTATCATGTTGGCCTACTGCTTCTGTTACGTCCCAGAGTTCATATGTTACTATATAATTTTTTTCACTCATGGATTTTTTTGCATGTATGTATTTCTGATGGGTTGCTTATTTGTTTAACATGGAAGTGACCTTGTTTCTTAATATATTTTTATGCATGTGAGGCCCTTTGAACATGATATGTGCTACTGGGCGATACAAATAAAAATGAATTGTTACAACAAACAAATCATGAAACAGGCCGTCATAAAACACCTCCCAGCATTTCTTTTGGCACAGAACCACCAGTTTAAACCTAAAATATGCTTTTTTTTCCATTTATGAATTACATTTCCAACTCCATAATTCTTTGAGTGCTGTATCATTTCCATAGGTCTCTGAAAAAGATCTTACCAGGTACGATATCTGTGCAGTTTCTTTGCACAGGCCATCACTCTGACGAACACTTGGATCACTGACATATTATCTCACACATAGTACAGATACAGGTATGAATAAGTTACTACATAATTGATGGACAACTGGTTGATGTATAAAATATATATACTGGGAATCGACAGTATAAATATACTGTTTATATAGTAACCAGTTATCCATCACTTCTTTTTTCCATAATTTATCCCAGGATAATCATCAGGAAAAATAAACTGCACTTATTATTGAGATCATCCAAGCTAACAATAGCAGAAATGAGCATTTAAACCTTTTAGGATAAATGTGAAAAAAAAAATCACTTCACATTTTATATTTTTATGACAGTTCATGATGAATCTCTGTGATCCAAACACCTGGTTCAGCTGCTGCAGTCCCATAACTGGGTCAGTCAGATATGGAAAGATAGCGCCACCATACCACTACATATGGAGGACAACATGCACCCATGCACTGACTCATAACATGGAAATTTACAGTCCTTGTATTTGCCAACATGGCACTAAAAATACAACGCTGCACTTTTTTGGAGTCCCCTACAGTGGCATAGTTGGATTGGAGTTCTGCCATTTAAACAAACAATACTGTATGATGACTAACTGCGTGTTTCAACCTTCCAGCTCACTACTAAATGCAGGAACAACAAATTACAAAACACGTTTTAACGAAAAGCTGCAGTGAGACAATTATTGGTTTGAACATATGGCTACAATTTGGGGTGCAGTGTACATGCGCGCGGCTTCTTGTACTTTCATCATGACTCAGCATTTACTTTACAAGTCTTTGCTGCACAGACCACCTAAAGAAATTACTGGCTTGATTAAAATATAAGATAAAACATTGATTTTATGGAATAAGATCTAATTAATGTTTGTGCATTAATGTGGGTTTGGGGACATGATACATTTGATTGTGGAGTCAACAAGACAAAAGGAAGGCGTGCTCTAAACTACACACATTCCCACACGTGACAAATGCAGGTTTACAGTCGGCCCACATATTTGGGGTGGGACCCCACCATGTAACACATGCCATGCTATGATGTAACAGCATCATGGGCAGTATTTAAAGAGGCAGACCTCTTCCCCGCTCCTGCATCTGTTCCACTTATTATCTGAGATTCGACGAGAGGTTTGGTTATTGTCCCTTGGTAAGGCTTTTCAACTCTACAAATCATATCACAATACAGGCAAATTTTACCTTTTTACTTTTACTGTTTACTTTCCTGTTAATATTATTAATTAATAAAGCTTTGTTGGATTGCTATGTTGATTTTAAAATGACTCTTTTATGCAGGATTTGGAGTATGATTATACGCCTCATTGCTGTTAAAAAATCTATGGAAAAACAAGAAAAGTTGTTTATAGCTGGGACAAAGTTCAGCCAGAGGGACGCCTTTAGAGAATCCTGATCTCTAAAATATCTGTCCCAAACTGCTCCTATAAAGGTAAGACTTAATGACTTAAAATTTGATTTCATTAAAATTGCAATGCTTCTTTTTTAAACCCATGCAAGTACACAGAACATAATGAACAGCAGTCTCATTAAAGCCTGTACTTGGGGTGGGGGGGTGCTGCTTTTGCTGAATAGAGGTGTTAAATGAGCTTATGGCACACACCAGCTGGAGGCATTACTAGCATAGTGAGTAAAAGAAGCCAGGATCAAGCGTGTAAAGCAGATCCATAAAATAAGCAACACTTGTCTTCCTGATGGGATGTAACTCTCATGTGTCAAATTTAGAGATGCAGTTTTAAATAAAAAACATTTGTCTCTGAATGCAGTGTGTTTGTGAAATTTGTTTCTGTCAGATTTTGCAGGAACATCTTGTCGTGTTCACGTTCACAAATACAACGCTTGTGTTTTTGAAAAACACTGTGGAAAATGGTTGGATTCAGGCCTGCAGATGTGCCACCTTCGGCAGCTGTAAAGTTTGTGGGAGCAGGAACTGCAGCCTGCATCGCTGACCTGCTCACCTTTCCCTTAGACACAGCCAAAGTGCGACTGCAGGTATTAAAGTATTCTTGTGTAACAAACACAAAGCCAATTCTTGTAACCTTAGTAGAATGAACTTTCATTGCACAGATCCAAGGAGAGGCCAGAGGCTCTGCTGCTACAGGGAGCGGCTCTACGGTGAAGTATCGAGGGGTGTTCGGCACCATCGCCACCATGGTGCGTACTGAGGGTCCTCTGAGTCTTTACAGTGGGCTGGTGGCAGGACTCCAGAGGCAGATGAGCTTTGCGTCTGTCCGAATTGGTCTCTACGACTCTGTTAAACAGTTCTACACTAAAGGCTCTGACCGTGAGCATCTGTGATTGGATTCTGACAGTTGTTTATTTGGTTGAGGGGAAATTTTGACCAGTCTCAACTGACATCTCTCTCTTCCCTGGTTTAGATGTGGGCATTGGGAGTCGGCTGCTGGCTGGATCTACCACAGGTGCCTTGGCGGTTGCCATTGCTCAGCCCACAGACGTGGTGAAAGTTCGCTTCCAGGCACAGGCCAGATGTCTTGGCCGTGCCAGGCGCTACTGTAGCACAGTGGATGCTTACAAGACAATTGCCAAGGAGGAAGGCATTTGTGGTCTGTGGAAAGGTAGCTCAACCTTCCAAAATGCGTGTTTTTAAAAGGCTGCTGCTTCATTTCTTATGATGCATCTTTGTTTTCGATGTCACACAGGCACAGCTCCAAACATTGCACGTAACGCTATTGTTAACTGCACAGAACTGGTGACCTATGACTTTATCAAGGATATGCTCCTTAGGTCCACGCAGCTGACAGGTAAAACACAGTGGCTTCACAGCAACATCAGGCATGTGTATGATATAGCACTCAGCCCTGGGTTCTGTGCACTCCACAGATAATCTGCCCTGCCATTTTGCATCAGCCTTTGGTGCGGGGTTGTGCACAACAGTGATCGCCTCCCCTGTTGATGTGGTCAAGACAAGATACATGAACTCTGCTCTTGGCCAGTACAGCAGCGTTCTCAACTGTGCTGCTGCCATGATGACCAATGAAGGCCCGTGTGCTTTTTACAAAGGGTAACCCAGTGATTCCACATTCATTTGACAACTCTTAATGTGAATGAAACGAAACCAAAAAATGTTTTTGCCTCCATTTCCATTTTCTTAAGGTTTATCCCGTCTTTCTTACGCCTGGGGTCCTGGAACGTGGTCATGTTTGTGACGTACGAGCAGCTGAAACGAGCAATGATGGCAGCGAATCACAGCTGCAAAGCTTATCTGTAATCTCTACTGTCTCTCGATGGGCTCGTGTTCGACCACACTCACATTGTCTTTCATTTTTGTTATCTTCCAGCGTGTTTACAGAAATATTCTGACAGAGTGCAAAGTGCAAATAAAAACAGAAAGACACGATTTGCAAATGTATCAGTATTGCTCTCTCCTGACAGACATGTAGCCACATGAACAGTCCAATCAATCATTCTGATTACACATGTATTTGGAATGTGATTAATCTTTAAAAGACAGAGCTTGCTTGATCAGATACTTCCTCTCAGCAGAAAGCGTCTCGGGGAACTTAAGGTCAAAAGTAATTATGAGGTTTCCTCTCTGGGAAGGGTTCTTGGACAGCGGCATTCCTTCTCCGGACAAGACTTTTTGGTATCTAGGGCTGATATGACATGACAAACAAATCAGAGAGCGGAAACTTAATGCAGATAATGCACAAAATGAAAAAAACACAATAATCATTAAGTGTTATAGCAGATGGTTATGCTGGACATTTCTTCCTGTTATAAGGGAGTTTTTCATTCCCACTGTCGCCAAGTATTTGCTCATAGGTGATCATATAATTTTTGGAGTTTTCTCTGCTTTTTTTCTTTTTGGGGGGGGGGGTTGTATTTCCTTACAATACGAAGCACTTTGACGCGACTGTTGTTGCACTCTGGCACTACATAAATGTAAAAACAACCAGACTGGGAAAAACTGTTTTTCAAGACAGTGACTGAAAGCACTTACTGGACAATGTCATTGATAAGAACAGAGAGCAGCCTGCCATCTAGTGTCTGCACGTCCACAGAGAAGCCAGTTAAAGCCTGCGAACAAGGGAATCAGCTTACAGCTTCAAAGAAACCTTTTTGCATGGCCAATAATCAATCCATGACATGACTCACCATCTCCAGAGTAATCTTTGCTTTGTAGATGAGGTCATTGTTATGTCTCACAAACAGAGGATGAGTCTTCTGTCGCACAATAAACACAATATCTGCGGGAATGCTGTTTGGTCCCTGAAGGTAAAACAGCAAAACAAAATAAAAAGATTACCATGCAGCAGTCTTTACAGACAGTTCTTTATACATTCCCTCCCTGGGTAAAGGAAAGAATATACACAAACAAGGCAGTGGTACAGTCAGTACACATCATCATAATAAAAAAACAGAGTAATAAGAAGAATAGCTTTGAGCGCATAATTTCTTTTGGCTAAAATTGCCCAGAGTACAATAAGCAAAATGCCTTTTGCTTATTGTAATCGGGTGTTAAAACCGAACATGCTTACTTTTGGTAGTAAGCGTGTTCCATTTCAGTGAACCTATAAAAGATCTGCAGGAACAACGTACTTGTGTGCAGTCTATGCAAAGTGCCAATTTTAGGAGAACCTTCACAAGTAGTTAGTCATCAGTTATACTTGCAATAGCAGAAAAAGGAGTACAATAAATTATAATTTGTTAAAAATTCCCCTCTCCTTTGTCGCATTCAGCCTTTTTAATACTTACCTCTACTATATTTTCACTAATTGCTGCACTGCAGTAATGTATATACCACAATAACAATGGCAACCTGCTAAATTTCCCTTTAAAGCTAACTGCACACTGAAGCCTAGGATTGATTACAGCAAAAAATACATTTCTGGGTTATAGCAGCCATATAGCTCGGAAACGGCATCAGAGCCACGAACCCAACTCAGGCTGTAGGAAATATTTATGTATAAAAGGATAAAAATAATACACTATACCAACTCATGAGCTCACTTTCAAACCCCCCATTTTAAAATGATGTGTAGGCTGGTTAATTACCTGATCTCCCTCTTTGGGGAAAGTAATTCTTGTGCCTTCGTTCCATCCAGGCTTGACATCTATACTCAGAATCTTGTCTTTGATACTGGATGTGCATCCATCATCATTCATGACCTGTAAAATAAATAAAGCATCGCACAATATATGAGGCAAAATCAGTGCTGTAGTATGTCTTTGTGATGGCGTTTTTTTTTTTTTAATGCTGTTGTTTAGTTAGCTCTAAACCCCATGAGGAGCTTGCAGTCTTATAGATGAGTGAATCCAACAAAAGCCACGGGAGGGAGAAAATATAAACATGTCTTACTCTGCGAGATATCTTGATCTTTTTTGTGCATCCATGGAAGAGATCGTCCAGGCACAAATGAAGGTCTCTCTCTATTGGGGAATCTTGCGTTTTCGCCACTTGTGGCTGCAGGCCACCGAACTGAAGCGGCACATCATTTGTGTAGAAGTCTAGTAAAAAAAAAAGAAAAAAAAGAAGGTGGATTAAAGGATTAAAATCGAAAACGCACATTCACTGTCGGGCTTTGATTATGTTTTTTTCTCACCTGCAAATGGGTTGTCACCCCCGAAAAACTGTTTGAATGTCTGGTCAGGATTCCCATGGTAGACGTATTTTGATGACCAAGTTCCATTGCTGGCAAACTCAAGTGGAATACCACCTCTCAGGCCCTCCTCTCCAAACTTGTCGTAAGTTGCCTTTTTTCGAGCTTTCACACAGAAAATTGGCTTTGATTCACACACATATGGTACATTCTGCATACAATAAATACAGCCTTTCCTCAGACCAAAATACACTTCACTGTATATAAGCCTGTATTACTATTTTAATATTAACTGGTATTTAAAAAAAGCTTTCTATTTCTGATCCTTATAACAGTTTCCTGCTAAATGTTTTTTTTTAAACAAAAAGCTTTAAATACAAATCTGCAGTTATTTCCACTTCTCCTTTTACAAAAATGTTAGTATTGCTTATAATATAACCAATTTTAAACTGAGTTGTAGCTGTGCGTTCATCTATTGCATTGTTTGAAACCGTGAGTGGGAGGGTAGATACAATACATTACGATACTTTGCGTGGTGATATTGTATCGATAGAGAGTCACCAAATATCGATATTTTATAAAGAAATATAAATACTCAGGGAGTACTATGAACAGTAGGACTCATCTTATATTGAGATGATTTTATGTATCTCATTGTCTTTTATCCTGTCTTCCTTCTCTCACCCCAACTGGTCGCAGCAGATGGCCCCGCCCCTCCCTGAGCCTGGTTCTGCCAGAGGTTTCTTCCTTTTAAAAGGGAGTTTTTCCTTCCCACTGTCGCCAAAATGCTTGCTCATAGGGGGTCATGTGATTGTTGGGTTTTTCTCTGTATGTATTATTGTAGGTCTACCTTACAATATAAAGCGCCTTGAGGCGACTGTTGTTGTGATTTGGCGCTGTATAAATTGAATTGAATTGAATTGAATTGAATTGAATTGAATGTAAAATCAGCTCCACTGACAAACCACCCAGGACTGGACACACTTAGCTTGACAAAGCTACATGCTAATTAAGAGCGAGCTTATGGCTCATAAGTAAAAAAAGGACAGCAACCTCCTTGCAGCTACAAAATATTTTTTTAAGAATCAGTGACTGCCTGCTCATAGAATTGAATTTTTTCACATTCTGCAACTGACGAAACAGTTGCCCAGAACGTGAGGGTCTCGAACACAAATGGTCAATTTTGATTGGAAGGCAGTTGCAGAGGTCACCTGAGAGGAGGCAACTTTTCAGCAAACAATCTCAGTCTGACTTCGACTGACTGCAATCACTCTCTGAGAGAATGTCAAAATAACTGAGTCAACCGGCTCCCAGGTGGCTATATTCTGGTTTTATTTACATAGAACAGGAAGGTTGCTGGTTGCAACCGAATGCAAAATCACTTATTGCGGGAATGTTGTACACCTTCCTTTGATAATTCAATTGATTTGTGCTGCTTAAAAAAAGAATAATAATAGATTATCACAGTATATCAGTTAAACTTCAGAGATATCAGTCTGTTCAGTTGGGAAACATGAACCCGTGTGAATCCGTTTCGCTTACTTTGGTTCAAATGAAAGTAACGCTGGAGAGGCATCAACGAGACAACCCCACCCAAAAACCTGACTGTTTTTGCTGTTTGTCAGTGAGACATACATGCAGCCCATGCAGGTTGCACAGCTAGTCGAGCTCAGTTCTCTTCACACAGGAGAGACACACACAAGCAGTGAGGACATGTGACACACATGAAAGGGTCTTGAGACACTGGTGAATGTTAGGCTGTCTGCCTGATCCTTCCGCATGACAGATTTGGAGGGTTTCACAGACCTCCACGTGCTGTTAGGTAGGTGATAAAAGAGTTTGCCAAGAAACAGACACATCTGTTGCCTTCTTGAGGTAATTTTCGAGAGCACGGGAAATGTTCCTCCTGTCCCTTTTTATACAAAGGAACAGACATGGGTACTGATGCTATGGTGATGCCCCTAACTGCCCAGCTCTTAGCAGCTCCACACTCTTGACACTGCTGACAGATACACCTTCTTACATCGGCTCTTCCTGATTTGCAGTCCTGGAGCAGCTGTGCACTGACTATCTTTGCAACGTGAATAGGCTGCAGGTATCATGTCATTCCATCAGAATTGAAAAGTAAAGTCACAAAAAGCAAAGCTAGAATGAACCGAATCACGAGGGATAAGGAACGACCACTTTCATTTGCACCAAAGCAGCTGAAATGGATTCAGTACGATTAACTGACTTTTCCTTAGACTGTGATCATCGAGTGTCCCCTTATTGTTTTTATCCGTGCGGTTTCCAAAATAAAACACACTTCAGTCTCGATATTCTTCCACTTACGGTCGCTTAAAACATCATAGGCTTCACCCAACTGGGTAAATTTCTGGGAGCTTCCAGGCTCTCTGTTTCTTTTCGGATGAAACTTCAGTGCAAGGCGTCGATATCTAAGAAAGAGAAAGAAATAACTGAGGAATAACAGAAGCCTCATTATTAAGCATGTGAGTTTCATATGTATTAAATGACTTACGCCTTTTTGATGTCTGCATCTGTTGCGTTTCTATTTATTTCCAAAGTCTCGTAGTAATCATTACTCATTGTGAAACTAAGTATTTAAAACCACATTTAAACATCAAAGAAATATCCAGCTAAAACACAGAGTGCGGGTGCGTGAATTGGTTTCCACGGAAACGGCTGCTGGGAGACTCTCGCGAGAATTGCAAACACTCGCGGACATTGATTTAAAATAAACTATAACAAGAAACAGACTGCAGTCCAGAGAAGACTGCTCGTCTTCAAATAAATAAGAAGAAATTTAGAAGTAATAAACGTTGACGGGAGTTGCTACTTCGCAGTGAAGTAATTATTACTGACCTCTTTCGAAAGCTTTTATAGTGTGTCATTATTTAATGTCTCCGCGTAGTAGTTATTGTCTGCTTTGTAATATAGCCTAGAATCATATGCAGATGACCACGATATTAATAAATAGCTGTGCAACAATCTGATAATCACTCAATGCTAGATCCCAACTAGGTCAGGTAGATAGGGTCACTTGACATTTTGCATAGCGGATTGCTGGCATGTGTATACTCATTGTTTGTTAAATAAAGTAAAAAAAAAAAAAGATTGCTGGCATGTCTCGTGTTTGGGGGCCACCACTGTATTATTTCTTCTGTGGACTTGCAGAACAAACAGTAGGTAATGAGTCAGGCCAGTTACTGTAGCTTCAGCATACCGTGATCTTGTCTATTTGTAAATTTTTGAAGCACCTTGGTTATTTTGTACCTCGACAGTCATTTTGAGATTTTACGTAAATTAACTGTAATATTATTGGACATCAAACCTATAAAATCAAAAAGTTAAATGTGATTTGAACACTGAATGTCTCTGACTATAATCACTTTTTCAGTACACAGCTAAACATCTATATTTCTGTAACTTTCATTATCTTGTAGTAATTGCTGCCAGAAATGATACAGAAACAGATCAACATCTCAGCACTTAAAAAATAAAAATATTGAACTGATTTATCCAAAACACATGTCAGAAACACAGATCAATACCAGCAGCGTTGACAAGTTTACTTTTATTCTTTCATTTGAATCCATTCCAGAAACGTTAAGGACTACAACGCTATACAAACTGAACTCTCGCCTGTAGTTTTACACAAAAATTGCACAATATTTTCAGTATGATCAAAGTGCCACTTCGAGGCAGCACGTGAAACAGCAGTTGCTCGCTGCTGAGTGTCAAAGGTGGTCCAGTTTGGATGCATATTTTATTAGCGACTCATACCCAAAGTGAAGATATTAACAGCCATACAAAAGAAACAGGAATCTGATAGAAATAAATATTACAAGTCATTGTGGATTAAATACATATGTAGAATCATCACTAACAAGAAATCAATGCCAAAAAATAAAAACAAGGAAGTGTTGATAAAACGGCATACCAAACCTAATTAGATAAATCCAAAGCCAAGGAAGCCCTCTACAATTCAACTCCAAAAGGCATATATCTCCACATCTAATGTCTATTGTCGGATTTATGAGAAAATCTACAAACACTATCTAAGAAAGTTTTAGTCTATGTCAGCTAGTCTTTAGGGAAAAAAATCTATCCAAATAAAAAGTAATAGAAAATGGAAGCCAAGGTAAAAATAATCCATCTCAATAGACGTGTGGGCAGAGGAGGAAGGACGGTAATGTGTTTGATGCAGTCATGTTATGCATTTGTGCTGGTTTCCATGGTGTGTAGGTGTGACACTGCGTGACTGTGCAGGTCGTGTTGGGAGAACTGTGACTCAAGTTTAAAATAAGCTCCTAGCTCACACTTCATGGGTGTGTAGTACACATGTCTACACCCAGCACTCCAAATAATGATTTACTTTGAAGCAATCCTACAACCTTTTCCTCATTTTATCCCAAAATGTTAAAAACAAAATAGTTTGAAGAAAATACCTAAATTAACTTCGGCCAATCAAATACAAAAGCGCTTATTGTGTTAACTGACAAATGCACACAACACATTCACATTGTGCTTATTAAGCTTAAAGCAATATTTACTTATTTTTTCTTTTTTTAAAGATTCTCACTCTTAGACAAATACATTGATTTGATGACTTTGACACACATCGTCTTTCAGTTTGGTTCAAAATCATCTTTACCCACAAACTATTCTCATTTTTCTTGTACTACCGTCTCTGCTGAAATGACAGAAGGCTTAGTTCAAGCATAAATATGCAATGTTTCAATATGTTTGAATGCATGTGTGTTACAGTGCAAATATTCAATTTAAGTACAACTGAAGTGACTTTCAGAGCAGCCCGATGGGCTACCAGACTTCCATGATGGCGAGGATAACGGATGTAGTGTTCTCTTTCAGGCTGGGGGACAGTGGAGGGTGTAGTGAAGGATATGGGCGCAGAAAAACTGAATGTATTAGATAGAAACATTAGCAGGAACAGCCTCCTTCACTGGTAGGTTGCTCTGGTGGTTTCTCCAGCTTAATGTCAATCACTGAAAGGTTTAGGAGTTAAGAAACAACATTGAAAAGGAACTCTGAAATGCATTGGCATTGAATTAAACAAATTAATTAATTAATAGCTCTAGATTTCTGCGTCATGGTCCTGTCACATCAACACCGTGGTGAAAAAGGCCCGACAGCGTCTCTACCACCTCAGACGCTTGAGAGACTTCCAACTGCCCTCCAAGGTGCTCAGGAACTTTTACTCGTGCACCATAGAGAGCATCCTGGCGGGAAACATCTTAACCTGGTTCGGGAACAGCACCATGCAGGACAGACGAGCTCTACAGAGGGTTGTGCGGTCAGCTGAGCGCACCATCCGCTCCGAGCTCCCTGACCTGCACTCAATCTACAGCAGGCGGTGCTGGACCAAGGCCAGGAAGATCGTGAAGGACCTCAGCCATCCCAACAACAGACTGTTCTCTCTGTTGAGGTCAGGAAAGCGATTCCGCTCCCTGAAGACCAACACAGAGAGACTGAGGAGGAGCTTCTTCCCGCAGGCGATACGGTCTCTCAATCACACCACCACACAGTACTGACCCACACATATGGTTCTTACACACACACTGGACTTTCTGGACTTTGTTTTTGCACAACACTGGTCACTATATTCTTCATTTCCGGTTAATACTTGTACAGCTGCTGTTATTGTGTATATATTTATTTATATTTAGATTTCTTCATACATTCTTATATAGTTCTATATTGTGTATTTTGTTGTACAGTTATTTTATTTTCAACTTTAATTTATATATTTTATCTTATTCTCCCAGTTAAATTTACCCTTCATTCTAATTTGTGTTGTACAGTTATTTCATTTTTAACCTTAATTTATATTTTATTCCTTCCTAGTTAAATTTACCCTTTTTAATTTTTCATATTTATTTCCTATCTTATTCATAGCCTTTCCTTTTTTGTTTTCTTTAGGTCACGAGCAGTTGTCCAAGCATTTCACTACATATCGTACTGTGTATGACTGTGTACGTGACAAATAAAATTTGAATTTGAATTGAATTTGAAGGAAAGACAGTCACACTTTTTTGGCACAATGGTCCAAAATGTCCCATTGGTGTTCAATTAGCCTGAGATGACCGTGATTGTAAATGCCAGAATGTTTTACATTATTTTCATGATCATTAAAGTAGTCAGTGACCACATGTGCTGTACAGGTAGAGGCCATTTTCACACTCCAGCAGTGGTATTGCCCAATTCACATGTATTGGTTTATGACACATTCACAATAAATTACAAAGGGACTCTCCTATAATGGAGCACTTGTTGATGGTGGGAAGGAAGAAATAGCTTAACAGAAAGAGATCTCTGGCAAAACCAGGCACCAAAAGGGTTGAGGTTTTTAAGTTTTAAAATAAAGTTCTTAGTTTCAAAAATGAACTTGTTAATTTTTAAAGACCCTCCCCCCAACTAAATATTTTTCTATTTGCTGAGTCATTAAGCAAGACAATTTAAAACTAATACTGTTAACATATACTGCATTCTCTCTCTGCATGAGACAGAATGCAAAGCTGGTCTTCCACCAGAAAAGCTTCTAGTTGTTGGGCTGCTGGGGAGTTAAGAGCGCTATCCACCCACTGTACTGTGTATATGGCGTGCCAAAGTTGGAAAGTCTTTCAGCTCTACATGAACTTCTGTGGGTGTTACCGTAGCTGAAGTTTTTACCTTTTAATGGCAGGAATAAATTATCATCGTTCAGATATTTTACAAGACCAGATGCTTCAACTCAATGTGACGACTCATACTGGTCTCCATTTAACTGAGGTCAGTATTTCACCACTTATTGCTAGACAGAATATTAAAGTAATCTTAAATATTCTTATGGACACATGATGGCTTATGCTATAGTTACATGGCAAACTTATCAAAGCTGAAGTCAGTAAACATCATAACAACATCTTTATAACTCAGTCTGAGACTGAGGCACGTTTCTAGGAGCATGACTGACTAATGTGAATTCACTGTCTGCTCTGATCTGTATCAGGACAAACTTCAAAACCTTTCAAGTCTGTTTCATACCCTCCAAAAATAGACCATCAGTGCAGAGTGTCTTTGATATTATACTCATTAAAACAGGCATCCAGCTGAATATCAATAGGTGTCCTCACTGGTAAAACAAATCTAGAACGACATGTGGGTTAAGCAACAATAGTGAGATGTCACAATTCTGCACTTGATTCTCCCTGTGGCCGTGCTTATCCATATGACAGACATAAGAGGGCAAAGAGACCTCTGACTCTGTTCTGTCATGTCAGATGCAGACACTGACATGTACACAAAAGGATACTGTCCTCTCTACTCTTGTCCTGTGTGGTGTCCATGCCAGGGAGGGCAGCTGCCACACGACGGAAAAGCTGGAGGGAAAGAGGACCGCATGTATTCTTTCAGACAAGGAATATAGTGAGGGCATGATAAAAAATACAAAAATGAAATTGGCACAGCATGTTGTGTATAATTCTAATATTAACTGATCAAGCATAAGGTCCACTTGAAACTCACACAGAGAAAGACACCCAAGAGAGATTTATCAAATTTGATCTCAGTTTAGCAGCTTGTGTCTCTGACACTGTAAACCAATTTCTGTGCTGCATCGGTGATTTGAAAAGAGGATGGAGCTGAGCTTTAGTGACATCTTCCATTGACAAAGCTTGGAGGATTTTAAGCGATGAATGGATCCATTCATAAAATTCAAGAGAAATGTATGATGATGCTCAGCATCCCCTGCCCCCACCAAAGAGCGTCGTGGAAGCAGACTTATGACATGCAGAGTTCACAGCAGCAGTAACACTATTGCTGTGGTGATCAGTGCTGTGCAGGTTGTTGATTTGCAAACTCTGGTCCCCATCTCTAAGACTTTGTGATAAAAGGTTGGCCAATACAAATCATTACAGGGGGGAGAGAGCTTGAAAAACAACCAGTTCTCTTCACTAGTGACCAGTGGAAACTGATGTTTAAAGCACACCTTTTGCACACATGCGTGTGAAATAGAAGCCAATCAGAAGAGAGGACTATGAGAACACATACACATGTAGGTGCACACGCTCTACCTGTTTGACATTGTAGCCTGTCTTTGCACTTGTTTCAATAAACAGAACATTCATCTCTTTCGCTCTCTGTTCTCCCTCCTCTGTGGTTATCTGTCTGTGATGAGCCACCGCGAACAACACACAAACACCCACCAGGACACGCACATACCCCCACAAACATCAACACAGAGACAGGGGAAAAGAAACACAGACACTGTGATTATGTTGAAGAGCATTAACAAGCCGTGCCCTTCCTGCTGCGGCTGCCACCACTGCCCAGCACCAAAGGTTTCCCAGTAAACTTCCTGGAAAAACAGGAAGAGAACTGAAACTTCCAACATCTCAACCATAAATGTTATATTCTCTGTGTTTGACTGAAA